CATTGATAATTTGTGCGTCAGAAAAAGGTAAACACATCGATTTGCTTCTGACTGATTTACATCACTGTTTTTCACTTCAGGATGGAGCGCCGAAATATCCCTGCATTACTGATTATTGGCGTTACAACGAGTGGATTTGTGGGACTTATTCTCTCGTCTTGTGGCATTGCTTGCTGCGTCTTAATTTGCCGTAAAGAAAAAACGAATCCTAGCTTATCCCGAAACATTAAAATGAATCAAAGAGTTCGTCAAGCCTCCGTCAAAACTCGCATTATTGGTCCACTGCGAGACTCTTGTTTGGAAGAAGCACATCTGTACGAAACAATGAGTGAAAATCCATATATTTACAACATGTTCACTATCAACGGTCCGAACAGCGCGCGACTATCGGCTCTATCACATTCACAACCGATAGTAGATCCATCGACTCTCGCGTACATTCCGCCATGGGATGTTGAAACGGAGGAGAGAGAAATTTTGGTTTAAAAACGTTTTGTGTTTTTTATGTAGCTAGCAACAAATAAATGAAGTTGTGAAATTTGTGAATAATCAAGGATATAAAATTGCTCTTAAAAGAGTAAGTTTGCAAGTGTAAAGGAGAGAGAAGGAGCCAGAGATGACCGATCCGAGAAAAGTATATCACGTTGAGGCTGGTAACGTGGGCACTCCAACAGAAAATTCTTGACGGTTTCTACTTTCTCACAAGCACAGAGCTGACTAGAACTCAATTTTTTCCGAAATAGATCGAAATGCAGTGGAGAAAAATTAACTTTCCTTTGATTTAGTAAACAATCATATTTACGCTCACCGACCTTGGATCTTGGCCGTTTGAAATGGAGAGAGAAAAAATTGTGAATTTTAGTTCGAAATTTTATAAAACATGTCATATCATGTAGTAACTAATTCTATTGTCCCACAGCTCTCGGGAAAAAGGTGTTTTTGAAATTTTTTCCGTATATGCACGAAATATATGAACTTGCTTTCTCTCTCTGGAACGTAAACATACGTTTACAAAAGGTTGAGCTCTAATGAGCCTGGTATCAGAAAATTTAATTTTTGGCCATGTATCTATCTATTCGCGATGAATTCATACGTGCTTGGTACAAACTGAAAATTCTTTTACGGTGCCATATCTGGAAAGCAGAACAAGAACAATAATCGAAAGACAAGAAGAAGGATCGCAACAGTTTTTGGCAAAATAAATTGAAATAAACTCTATTATAATTAAAGAATTGTATTGGAAATCAAACACAAAATATAAGTGTGCTCCATTAACATATTAATATGCATATAAACAAAACAAAGACAACTAAAGATCGTTAAAAACAAATACAAATCACACATGAATACTGATTTTAAAAACGTTTTTGCCCATTTTCAACGAAATGACACATAGAGCAAAGGGAGAACACTGGGCGGTTAAATGTGTTGTATATGTTATCCATTGGTTCTGTCATAAGCATGAGCGAGAAAGAAAACATTTTGTCTTCTCTGGACTTGGTAATTTAGAAAACGGTTTTTAATTTTATAATAAAAAATGTTAAACGAAAGTGGTGAATTATAGCTATGCGACTTTAGTCATTTATACATCTTTATTATTATTTTGAGTAAATTCGATCAAAATGGAGATACTTCAAAGATACATTTTCACTATGCAGCGTATTTAATGAATAGAATACGAATTAGCTAACGAACTATGATCTGAATTACAAGTTTGAAGAGATATTGACGCTCATGCTCTGTACCACGTTGTTCATTCGTAATTTCGAACGAGCGAGTAGTCACTTTTCGCAGGAGAAACAAAATGACTACAGTATATTTTCCATGCAATTTTTCCTTATTTGATTGTCAAGAATCCTGTTTAAAAACCGACAACCCGCTCGAGAATCTGTCAAATGTCTTTTACGTTTTTTTCATTCATCAACAATACAATAAATCAATTATGGTTTTCTATCGCGTCACTAACATAACAGCACAGCAGTTCAGCGCGCGTACATTTAACCTTGATTCTTTCACAATACAAGCGGAAAAACTTCAGTTCAAATAGTCTAAAACTCAAAACTTAACTTGGTTTGCATCAGTTCAACATGAAGTATTCTCGTTGCTACATCACCATAATTTCTAGTATTTTTGAGGCGTTAGCTATTAAAACCAACCTAATCTTAAAAACAAAATTTTATAAAACTAAAGCATGTCCAATCTAAACGAAAACTGGGACAAAAAAGAGAATATAAAACTCACACTGAATACGACACGTCCGAGATTGGTTTTGCGTTACTCCTTTTAGTTTTCTCAGGTATATGCTCTAAACAGGGTCACTCAAAAGTTGGGATTAAGAAACTTTCCACGATCGAGATAATTAACACGTGATTAATTATAGTGTGAAAGAGAAGAAGGGAATGTTATTCATAGAGACAGAGAACGCTTGGCGTCAAAGGCATAAGTGCAGTAGAGACTAATTACGTTAATTAAAAGTGTGGCTATACGCCGTAGAGACGAATTGTTAGCTGCATTGTATGCACTCCTCCTGGTTATATGTTCGTTTCTGTCTTACTTGCTTCTCACAAATGTTCACTTAGTTGGCATCTAGTTGTCATTCTATTTATACTTCTGGTACCAGCAAAATTCCACAGAGTAACGAATTGACCGCACTAAACTAGACATTTTACAGGTGAGTAGACTTCTAGTCTCCTTCTTGTGATTCTGGTTTTGTGGTGTTGCTAAGTGAATGAGAAAATAATTTTCATATGATAAACAGCGCAACGATGAATAACAAATCAAATAAGGAAAAATTACATGGAAAATATAGCGTAGTCATTTTGTTTCTCCTGCGAAAAGTGGCTACTCGCTCGTTCGAAATTACGAATGAACAACGTGGTACAGAGCATGAGCGTCAATATCTCTTCAAACTTGTAATTCAGATCATAGTTCGTTAGCTAATTCGTATTCTATTCATTAAATACGCTGCATAGTGAAAATGTATCTTTGAAGTATCTCCATTTTGATCGAATTTACTCAAAATAATAATAAAGATGTATAAATGACTAAAGTCGCATAGCTATAATTCACCACTTTCGTTTAACATTTTTTATTATAAATTAAAAGCTCGGTTTTCTAAATTAAATAACGGAATATTTCTTACTCAATAACAAAGCAAGGAAATACAGCTTGTAAACAATGTGCATGAATTAACTTATTTGATATTGCTTTATACATCATTTTTCATACAAACCATAAAAACTGTTGTTTCGTCAAAATTATAATCGTTCAACGATTTATTATAGTCCAATTCTTCAAAAAGAGCGTCGCTTTTTGACAATATTATACGTGTAGAACCAATACCTTCTTGGTTTCCAAGTGTTGTCTTAATTTTAATAATGGATCATTTACGTTGACTTTCAGTTTGAACTGTCGACCCAAAACTGTTTGTACTGTAAATATCTTAGAATTACTAATACATAGAGATGAAACACGATTCAAAAGACAACTTACGAAGCATCTTCATAACATACCCTAAACCCCCTCACGTTAGAAGCCCACCCGCATTAGAAGCCTGGCAAGAAATTTTTTGAAAATTGCCCCTGCCCCCATAGGGTACTTTTTGAGAAAATATTGCCTTTCTTGTGGGACATAATAGAAGCCCACTAGGCTTCTAATGTGGACGGGGGTTTAAGTTATTTGCCGATGATGATGGATTAGATGTAGGTACCGATGAGGATCCATCTGTGATGATTAATTGAAAACCGTTGCATAAATGATGCAAATGATTAACAAGAGTTGGTTCATATCTCAGCGATACTTCTATCTGCTACAACGGAAAAGGAGATGATTCTTTTAATGATGGAGAAATTCTTCTTAGTGACAAAAAATGTTATATCTGCTTGCTTTATGGCCGGCTTATAGATCTACACCTATCAAATTGTGTAAATTGAGGTCGAAATTTCACGAAAACGATTCAATGATTAAGGCTTACCAATACATCGCTTAATTTATTCAACAACATTCTCATGTTATGTAATTTGTGCTAACTAAGTTCCATGTTGTTCTGATGACGAGTAAAAAATATTTACTTATATTAACTTTGACTTGATGATTATTTAATGTTTCTTGTAGTTTTGATTGTAAATCTCTTCAGGCGTTATTAAGTCTAATTCGCTTTTACTAGAAAGAAAAAGACAGACGGATTAACTCTGGTTGTTGAACAGCGTGTCTATTTTTTACTCAATTCAAATTTCATGCGTTCTAACGGAGTAATATCTTGTTGAATTTGTCTAAAAATAAACCAAAATTACAACGACAGTAGAACGATGTTTTACATTTCTCAGTTTAATCTTTGTCATTTACTGAAGTTGTATATGTTCATTCTGTTCGAGTTTAGTTAATATTTCCATTTGTCTCTTCAATAGAATAGAATCAAACTGTTGTCGAATATTTTGGAATGCCTGACAAATCTCACTATGAACATCTTTGTAGGCACTCTGAATTGATCCTTGAAATTAAATAATAATTAAATATTGTTAATAATGGTTGTAAACGTTAAAAAACCTTTTAATTCTTGTTGATCGTTTTTTTTCAATAAGTCAATGCACTTTTTGTCATTGTTCGCATATCTGACAAATTTTTTTCATCACACAAAGTACATTTTGCACAATTGCAATATTTACAAACTGTTAATGTACTGACAATATCACAATTTGGATCTGA